TTTTTTGAAAGTAGCAAATGGATTCAAACAGTGAGTGGAACAGATTATTTCAGTTAGGGCTGTGTCTTCCTGGAACAAATCCACTTATTAGCATGCTGTTCAGATTCCCCACCCTGAGTTTTGGAACCAAACACAGACTGGCGGATGAGCTCCGCAGCACACAAGCTTCATCTCTCCCACCCCATCTCCACATCTGTCTTCCCAGCCCCTATACACCCACAATGGTGGCTCTGCTGCTGAATGAGTGGCTTAGAAGGCTTTGCATTTGTCGGTTTGCTGGAAATCTGGGGTGAGGTCTTTGAGCTCCTATAAGGCCAGGTTTAAGTTTTGAATCCAGAGATGCAAGTGAACAGGAATTGAAATTGGATTAAGTCACCTCTGGTTATATCACTCTTGTGTAGCTTACAAATGTTATCAGCAATGTCAATCATAGAGGATTTGGAACACTTCCTTTAGCCTTCATATCATCAGACAAGACCAAATGCATTAAAGAATCCCTCTAAACCATAAAACATCCCCTCCCATTTTGGAAGGAGCATCAAAGTACAGCATGTCTACTCGCCATGTCTACAGGGGATGTATTCCAAGACCCCTAAATGAATGCTGGAACCACAGAGGCTACCATGGCCTATGTATGTTTTTCCTACACATACATATCTATATTCAATTTTTATGTATAGATTATGCACAGTAAGAGATTAATACTACCAATGAAAACAATCTGCTGGAATAAAATAGCCAGCATTACTACTGTTGGCCATTGTCAAGTAAAATCAGGACAACCTGTAAGTAAATTGCATTGGTTAAGAAAATTATTACTATAGCCTGTCCTTCATCTTCAACCTCTATGTGCACTTGTAGATGCTCTCACAGCCAAATTTTGCTGTGTAATAAATTATTTTAATTAGTTAAAACTCCAGTCATTTTATTATTAATGGATTCTATAAATTGGCTGGTCGGCTGTGGTTGGCTCTAATTCAGAGTTCTCTACAGACTACAGGTGATAAAGATAAGGCCAGGTGGCCTCCCAAGGACTTACCTGTCTGGTAGTTGGCAGATGGGTAGATCTACAAGGACCTCCACTGGGACCTGCCCTTGTCTGTACCCTGGCTCTCTCTTCCTCCTGGCCAAACTGGGGTTCTTCACCTGGTAGCCTGTGGTTCAGTCTGGATTACATCCACCACTTTCCCTTTAGCCAAAGCAAATACGGTGGACAACTTTCCTCAAAAAGAGGAGATCTTGGTATTCACTTTTGGGTTTTTTGTTTTTTAAATTTTGTGTGTAGGGGCTGGGAAGGTGGCTCAGTGCTTGCCTTGCATGCATGAGGCCCTGGGTTCGATTCCTCAGCACCACATAAGCAGAAAAAGCCAGAAGTGGCAATGTGGCTCAAGTGGTAGAGCACTAGCCTTGAGCTGAAGAGCTGAGGGACAGTGCCCAGGCCCAGACTTCAGGCCCCACCACTGACAAAAAAAAATAAATAAAAATTTGTGTGCATGTTGAGGCTTAAACTCAAGGCCTAGGTGCTGTCTCTGAGCTTTTGTGCTCAAGGCTAGCACTCTACCACAGCTCCATTTCTGGCTTTTCTCGTAGTTAGTTGGTGGTAAGAGTCTCACAGACTTTCCTGTCTAGGCTGACTTTGAATCTCCATCCTCAAATCTAAGTCTCCTGAGTAGCTAGGATTACAGGATTTATAGGCATGAGCCACCAGCAACTTGCTTTTTTTTTTGGGGGGGACGGGTAATTGAGGGAAAAATTGGTTTTTGTTTTGTTTTGTTTTTGGTCCTGGGGCTGGAACTCAGATCCTGGGTGCTGTCCCTGAGCCTCTTTGTATTCCAGGCTAGCACAGTACCACTTGAGCCAGAGCACCACTTCTGGCTTTTTCTAAGTAAGTTATTGAATATCAGAGTCTCACAGACTTTTCTGCCTGGGCTGTCTTCAAACCATGATCCTCAGCTCTCAGCCTCCTGAGTAGCTACGGTTGCAAGTATGAGCCACTGGCACCCATCTAGCATACACTCTCACTGGAGGAGCTGCAACATCAAATTGTAAAGGTGCATGGGGTAAGGATGGGAGGACTTTCTACCCATGTTGCCATCTTCCACATATTTGAGCAACCACAGGTAGTTAAACTGGAATAAATGTGTCCATCAGGCTAAATCAAAAAGACTGAGCTGTGTTACCTCTCTGACTCTATAAGAAAATATACAAGAGCATTAACTTAACAAAAGAAAAGATTTCCTTTGGCTCTCATTTTCAGAGGTTTAAATTTTTAACTAGTTGGCCCAATCACTTTGCTGCAGAGGCAGGGTAGCTCATAAGGAGACTGTAATATACAAAACCACTTCACTCATTGGCCAACAAGCCAAAGGGAAAGGACCAGAGTGTCCCAGTGCCCCTTGCCTGGCATACCTCCAGTGACCTAAGAACCCCCCCCACTGAGCGCCACTTCCTAAACATCCACCAACTTTCCAGTAGAGCCACTCCATTGAAGTTCCCCAATTGAAGCCATAGTGTCTCTGTTTATTTCCATTTTAGGTTTAACTTAGGAACTCTCTCTGGGCTCCTACTCTGTTGTAGACCGTTAGAAATTTAGTCACATTTGCTGGGAAGTTCTTGGCATTTTTGAGTTTTGATTCTAAATTTTGCCACATTTAAAAGTTTCAATAAAGTACTTGCTGTTGCACAGATAGGTTATTTTCTTTGAATGCAATTTGGATTTGGTGTATTCTGTGAGCTTTCAAGAATGTTTTGCAGGTCTGGGAAGGTGGCTCAGTGGTAGGAGTGCTTGCCTTGTATGCATTAGCCCCTGGGTTTGATTCCTCAGCACCACAAGTAGAAAAAGCCATAAGTGGCACTGTGGCTCAAGTGGTAGAGTGCTAGCCTTGAGCTGAAGAGCTGAGGGACAATGCCCAGGCCCAGAGTTCAGGCCCAGGACCGAGGAGGGGGAAAAAAAAGAGAATGTCTTGTGGACCAGCTGCGGCTGAACCTCCCCTGGGGCATGGCACCCTTAAGCCAACTCCCAGAATTCTAACTTTGTAGTCTGATACACCGGGTCCCTATTCACTGATCCTCCCTCACCTCCCATATCTGTAATGATTACAATGTGGTGTTTACCAAGCTCTACATTATTATTCTGTAAACATAATACTGTTTATTGCCACCTGTGTTCTGAATGTACGCATAACTCTAAACATCCATATGTAATCACAACAGCCTCCTATGTTTCTCAACCTTTGCCTCTTTACCACTGACATCTCGGGCCAGTTAATTCCTTGTCACGGAGGTAATTTGAGCATCATAAGATGTTTAGCATCTTTCCTCCTTAACCCTCTTGATCCTCTTCCTTTGCCCCTCCACCCATAGTTATAAAGACCATAAGGTATAGTGGATATGGTCAAATGTCCTTTGGGAAGAGCCAGGTTGCCTGAGGTGAACACTACTGCTTTCACTAGAGATGCTAAAACAACAGAGAAGGAAGTGTGTGAATTGTGGTTTATTGTCTGTGAGAGAGAGGGAGGGAGGGAGAGAGAGAGAGAGAGAGAGAGAGAGAACGAGCTCACAAAGTAGGAACAGCAGCCAAAGAGGGCAAATCTGTAAGAGAACAAAGGCATCTGGAACATTTACAGTCCCTTTAAAATTCAACAAGGGCTGTCTCTGGTTTCCTTCAAATTAACCTGAGGCATCAAAGTGAGTCTTGTTGCACACTGAAAGGTTCATCAATATCTTGACATCATTTTGGTAGAAGTGGATTAATAGTAAATACTATGTCTAAAGTGGGGAGAAAATGAGGAACTATGTAGACCATAATGGATTTTGAAAAGCCTTTTACTTTGGAGGAAAAAAAAAATAGGGATATAGAGAATAGAAAAAATCCTGTCTGCATCTCCCAAGGTCTTAGATTCAAGGCCATACCTCACTCACGGCCCCCAGTTATCCACTCAGGTTATTTTATTTTGGTTGGTTTTAGTTGTTGTTGTTGAAAGTGAAAAGAAAGCCATGAAAGTAAATTAGAAGACTCTCTGTTTGAAAAGGGGCTCCAAAGAGGAGTCCAGTGGACTTGTCTTGGAGGACAGTCATTATAGTACAAGATTTCTCCCATAGCTCCTCCCTGCACTTTGTGCTGATGCGGCTCTTGCATGCATCACACTGGCTTTTTTCATTGGTTGAGCAGGTACCTAGGGCAATATGGGAAGAAGCATTTGAGCCATTCGGGTTATTCCAGGCATCATTTTCTCATATTTGTAAGTATTTCACTGTATAGGTAAGAGGAAGTACCTAAAATTATGATGATAATATGCTGGTGAATTCTGAATCTTCTAGAGAGGGGAAATATAGGAAATCATACCAGAAAGTCAAAGGAAAGAATGAATGGTTAACAAGGCTTGGCTTTCAGGAACATTGAAAACTCCAGAAGAAGAGGAAGGCAGAGACGTTATGTCTTCAGGCTAGTCTTTTCTGGTGTCTTGAGTTGGAAAATTCTTACTTATAAATGCCCTTTACAGTATGTGATTTTTCACAGTGGCCTGGAGTATTTATGAAGGAGAATAGGCTGGCAGGGACCTGATGCATTTTCTTAAAAGAAAAGGAAAAAAACACAACCACTAGAAGGTATTGAAATATCCAGTCAATGATGGATTGCACTCAGCTGACTTTCAATGACTTTTTCACCGATTAGGGCCTGCTTTTAATAAACCAAAGCAGAATAAAAAAATTCATAGTTGCTTTTTAAGATTTTGTGCTAGGCATATGGCAGTTCTCTTGTTAAAATATATTCTGAGAAGTTTCTTTCTTTTGATTTAGGCCTCCTTGCTATATTTTATTTTGTCATAAATCTCTGGTGTTTGGTGAGAGCCATGGTCTATGTGATCCCTACTCAGCTTGCTAGATAACATCTACCCTCCCCTCCTCCCCCCCCCACACTTATCTTTAGAAGATTAAACTGAGGCTGTTGTATCTGATGCCAGAATAGATTTAACCACTCATGTTTCCTTTACATGTAGGTCAGTCCAAGGGACAATTCCGCACTGGATCCTATTATCCATGGGTTGAAGGGCGTCGTACATCATGGTAAGTAGGCTCCATATAACTTCCTTTTGCTGGCGTGTGATGGGCTCTGTTTTCCACATGAAGGAATTGGGTTATCTTGAAGGGGACAGAGGGTGACACCCATTTCTCATCCACTGATGTTGAAGAGCATTAGAGCTATTATTTGATGGGTAAAGAGCATGCCCATTTATTACCTGTGAGTGGGTCTGGGTTAACAGTAAGCCATTTGTTTCTCTTCAGGTATGACTTGGAATGCATAGGTTATCAGTCGTAATACCCTAAGATACACCATTCTTCGTTGTGGAGTCAGCCATTTTTCTTATCTCCTCAAAAGTGTTTTCATCATTTAAATGTCTTTTTCACTTACCAATGTTTTGGAGGAGGGAAGTGTCTTAAAATTTAGAAGGAGAAAAGAGATACCAGTAAGCTTTTCCCACATGTGAGGCATGATTACACAGCCAGAGATGGAAAAGGCTAAGCTCACATCATATTCTTAGGCATAAAACTGGGAGAGAAAGTTCTGTTTCTCCCACTGGTTTTCGTTGGAGGAATTTCCCTGCAGCTTTCTTCCTGCAAATCAGTACCTGGGACATCATGATCTTCTTAATTTCCAAAGGACCTCTGTCGCAGTGAGGTGTGGCATCTAAGCTGAGTGTCACAATTTGCCACGTTTTAATAATCTAATTAGAATTCAAAAGACATTGACAGAAATAACATTAGTAGCCATAATAAATCTCCCTTCATTCCCACCGCTGTTGATCAAATTTCTTCCCACCTTTGGAGAGGATTGTCTTCCAACATGAGCCCCCTCGGAGGAGCTTAACAAACATCTCTTCCAGAGAAATGGAACCAGTTATCAGGATTTGATTAAGTGGGGTTTAGGATTAATTATTCTATGCTGAACACTGAGCAGTCCTGCCGTGGGTGACAAGAATAAGCCGAGTGAGGCTGAAAACACCCCCATTGAGCTTTTCCTTTCAGGAAGTTTCCCTTGCTTCCTTCAAAGTGTTGGTTTCACAAAAGGTATTCATGTCATTCATGAGGGTTCTGGCTCCACGACCTAATTACCTCTTTCCCTAAGTCTCTCCCAATACCTTCGCTGTTGGGGGCAGCATTTTGACAGATGAGTTTAGGGAAAGACTCAGGTATTGAACAGTAGCTATTACCTGTGGGGACAGGTAATAGCTGCTTAGGTAAACTGTGAAATGCTTGGCGAGCCTCAGATAGGGCTGTAGTAATGCTTGGCCAGGGTCTTCCACCTTGCTCTCTAACCTGCTGAAAATACTTTATCTACAAAGGAAGTTTATTTATTAAGCAAAACAAAGTTGAGGCACACACTGTGTGTGTGCAAATGGGTGTGGGAGCTTTGATGAGGATAGATTGGAAAGGGAAGGAAGGGAAGTACTGGCCTCCTCTTCCTGTGGCCTGCCTAGACTGTCCCCTCCCAGCCTTGGCCATTTCCTCTCCTGGCAGACTTCTCCCTTTGCTTGAACCTTTTATCCTTGCAGTCTCAGTTCAGATACTGATTCCTTAGGAAGTTCATTCTCAATTATCCTGTGGAATTACTTACTTACCCCTTCCTCACTCCTAACATTCTGTCATAGCATCTGGAGTTCTTCCTTCAAAGTTCTTAGACATGTCTGTAATAACCTCGCTTGTTGCCTTACTCCTGCATTGCCTACCCAAGTAGGAGCCTCCTATGGTCTGGAAGCCAAGTCTGTGTGCACAGTGTACCTTGCAAGTACTTGTGTACCTAGCTCAGTACGTCTCAGCCAAATGACCAAGTAAAGGAAACACAAAGCCAAGCACCAGTGACTCAGGCCAGTCATCAATCCTAGATACTCAGCAAACTAAGATGTAAGGATCACAGTTTGAAGACCGCCCAGGAAGAACAGTCTGTGAGATCCTTATCTCCAGTTAAACCAGCAAAAAGCTGGAACTGGGAGTGTGACTCAAGTGTTAGGACACCAGCCTTGAACAGAAAAAGCCAAAAGAAAGCCCAAGGCCCTGAGTTCAAGCTCCAGTACCAGCACCAAAAGAGCAAATGCAGGAACTTTCTATGCATGAAAATGTAGCAGTATAAATTTGGACCAAGAGTTGTAGGCAAATAGTCACCCAGATTTAGCTTTGAGAAGCAAAAAGAGTAAGAGTCTGTCATTCTATAGAAAGGGAAAGGATAACTAAAATATGCAAAGAACTTGTTGGACCCAGAAGCATTTCCACTGAAAGTCCGGGGAAAGATCTGTGTGATTTGTTAATTGGAAAGAGTGTAAGTAGTTGTGACCTTCACAGAGTTTCTAGCTCGAACATCACAATAGAACCATATGAACAGAAAAAAAAAAAAATCAATGTGGATTTCTGACACAGTTCAGAAATGGCTTTGATTTCTTCAGCTCCAGGAGTTAGAGCTTAGAATGTTAATTTCTCATTAACTGATTTTTTTAAATAAGAGAAATCTTCTATGTTAATTCAGCTGAGACATCAATGATAAATCTGGTCCTATAGCAGCCAACTAGTGGGCAATTGGTCCGTGGGTGTTCTGTGAGTCTGTGGAGTTTTTAATACTGGAAGGGAGGAGGGCAAAGGAGAGGAAGACAGAAATGGGTGTTAGAGGTGGAGGTAGGTCTCACACCTCTGAAAGGAGGGAAGGGAGCTAGGTCTGAAAGCCCTGGAGCCACCACTGCTGCTGTGAGGAGCGCTCGGGCCAGCAGGAATGGCCCATTTTGCCTCTCCTCACCGTGGAGTCACAGGATTGAGCGTCCCAGGAGAGTGGTTCAGGGCACACATGGGTGGATCTGGAGGTACAGCTTGTCTCAGAAGTGGGGATGTCAGGGGAATCTCCCTTGGCTGGCCCAGAATGCTGCTCTACCTTCCCACAAACTACCATGCTCTACCTGCCTAGTGAACTGCCACTGGCTTTTCTGCTTCTTTATCCTCACACCTAAAATGCGCACGGCTGTGCTGTGTTACTCTGCTCATCACCACGGGCCACCCGATGGAAGTGAATCAAAGAACTAGCTAGGCACAGCTTGCCCAGGGCCATCTTCCTGGGTTTGAATATCCTTAGGAGAGATCCACTTAAGCAAAATGGCACTGAGAGCAGGGAATGGCAGACTGCTTTCAGACATTGGGCCTTGGAGGTGTCACATGGAGTGACCGCTGTGGCCTACAGGTGTCTAGTGCTTGTCCAGGCCAGCAGGCGGGCTCAGCATCCAAACAGGACCCGTGTAGATGAAGGTGTTGAGAGGACTGGGTGTGTTTGGGCTCCAAGCCCTGCCACAAAACTTCTCTAGTGCAGTGGAGAGACATCCTGGACATCCCTTGGTCTGTGTGAGCTTCACAAACTTGCAAACCATGAACTATCAAGAGAATGGAGTGGAAGTGACTGTCACTGATTCTGGTCTCATCTGTCTGCCCACTCACTGTGGACACTGACATGTATCTCGTGTTTTTTGTTTTTAACCTTACCATCATCATCCACTTGGAAGGATTTAAGGAGAGATTGCTTCAGGACAGTCTATGTGCAGTGCCTTCATATGTATACAAGCAGCCACACTAGATATGTTTTCCTAAGAAAGTAGTCTAGCAACAGTTTTCTCTTAACACCATACACACACACACACACACACACACACACACACACACACACACACACACACACACAAAACCAATAGAGAGAGACAGACTGACTGACAGGCATGTATGTGCACATGCATGTGCATATGTAAGATTTGGTGTGTGGATATTGTTTCCAGCCTGGAATGGCAATACATACCTATAATCTCAGCCATTCATGAAGTAGAAGTAGAGTTTATGCTTCAAGACAAGCCCAGTTAAAGTTAATGCTATCTCAAAAACAAGACGAGCATGTAATCACAACCACTTCGGAAACAGAAGTAGAAGGATTGAGGTTCGCAACTAGATAGGCAACAGCATGAAACGCTACCTGAAAAACAGAGCAAAAAGGGCTGTGGGGAATGAGTCAAGTAACAGACTACTTAAGGTTCCAACTTCAAACCCCAATATTTGGGGCAGGAGGGGTGAAGGAAGGAAAGGGAAAGGAGAAGAGAAGTAAAGATAGATGAGAGAGAGAGGACGGAGGGAGAGAGAAAGAGGGGGAAAGAAGGGAAGGAAGGAAGGAAGGAAGGAAGGAAGGAAGGAAGGAAGATGGATGTTGAAAAACATCTTGAAACACATTGTGCATAGTTTAAAATGTGTATTCTGTGCTGTCATGAAAAATGCTTTTAGATTGCATATTTCCCACTCCTTTTTGTTGCTCTTTCTCAGTGTTAAGTGGGCTGTCCTCCTTTAGGAGAAATGGTGGAGACAGCTAGAAATTGCCTTGGACATGTCTCTCTCTGGCCATTTCCAGATGACTGCTCTCCCTAGTCACCTTGTCCCTTGTCTCTTCCAACAAATAAATTATCACTGAAAACACTCTTCTGATAATGTCCCAAAATAAGGCTCTTACAAGCTTTTTTTTTTTTATAAAATCCCAGTGTTGGAACCAAGGCCAGGACAAGATTCAATTAATCCTTGCAGAAGGGTTTTGCTGGCTTATTCCAGGCTCACCTTTGTTCTACCTGCCCTAGGTCTTAACTCCTAGCCAATCTGTGCAAAAAGTCCTAGGATAGAGTGGCTTCAGGACCCAAGCAGAAAGGGAAGCAAGAAGTTAATTTGGGAAGATGTGCTAATGGCTGCCAGGTAGTGGGAAGAGCAGATGTTTCACATCTGTCATGTCTTTGAATCCCACCTACATGGACTGAGATGTGTACAAGAAAGAATAATGTGCACATGTCCCCAGACTAGGTGATCCTCTGAGTCCTAGAAAAAATAGCCAGCCTCATTTCACACAACTGTATGTATCCATGATGAACTAGTTTAAGAGAAACCAGCTCCTAGTTAGTATTCTGCATATACCACACCCACCAAATTGGAAAGCCCATGCATAGGTGCATACCCACAAAGACTGTCTTGTGCACTATTAGAGGCATACCCTAAATGGCTTATACACTAGGGGC